AAAATATGTCTGTTTTTTGGCTGAAGTGTTGAAACTGTTGTCGCAATTAATAATGCATTGAATGCCGCCTTTTAAGGCTCTCACACACCGACACAAACCCGGTATCTGTGCGCACATATCGCTCACTCTATACCCATATGGACTCTATGTGTTCAACAGTCTAATAAGGGCCCAATACTTCGGTCGTATGTTATAGAGTTTCGCAAAAATGGTTCCCAAGAAAAAGAAGCGGTTATTCCGTGACTATAGATTACGTGCAATACTTGTGACAGTATTTGCATTCATAGAGCATTACAGGGAGTAAGTTGTGTAGAGTCGTGATTAGTGGACAGCATTTAAAGGCATTAAAATGTTTAAATAGAGAAAAGTTTTGAACAAACTGTTGGAAAAGTTTTTTGTGTCCAAATAAGTGACAAAAGTTTTGATTGAGTTTTGATGACATGTTTACCGCATAATAGGCTAACAAATGGTTGACAAACGGATAGACTTATGGATGGGTTGTGGGAATGGGAGCCAGAAATTGGCGTTTATTTGGGGAACTCAGTAACAAAGTCGTGGAAATAGTTGTGTTGTCAGTGGACTGCCATTGGCTGAGCACTTCATTTGGGGGCAAATCTGAGCGCTCAGCCAATCAGAGACCACATCCGTTGCCATACATTTGGTGCAAATATTTTGGCGCTAAATCCGATTCATGCGATCCTTTTGTCCGATGAATGGTCTGAAGCGATGAATGGATTCATGAGATCCACGCAAACACTACAACACAGACACTGATTTGCATTCAGAGTTAATCCAAACACTAACTGCACTTTTGGTTACTAACGAACAGGGGTTGCATCCCATGCCTCCATTTCCTGCCTATGCATTGATGAGCACTGCAGACATCAGCAATGACCAAGCTCACTGCATATATTCATATTTATTCATTGTATAGATTCATGCTAGTAATCGTGTATTATAACCTAGCTACCATAAACTATCCATGATGCGTTCATTTTGACTCTAATTTTTTAAATCAATATATGATTGAATAAATTCTTGTAATTAATTCATGTTTCAAATCATACTTAAATCATAGGTTTGAATATCATATGATATATGAAACTAATTGTGCTATTAATACATCAGAGAATATGGATTATGTCCACTATTTACACAGTACTAAATGTTATGTCCAACATTAATTAGCTTAACACTAAATATCTATAGCAAATTGATGCTATTCATACTACGGTAATTACAAACTGGGCACCATGGTCATTTATTTGTGAATTTACTATATATTTCACTCGTATAAAGTGCATATATACTCGTATATATTTCACATGCTAATTTAAAAGTGACAAATTGTCCAAAATTGATGACTATATGTGGTGTGAATATAATATACAGTAATGCATAGAATATAATATTCCTTTGTATTCAACACTAGTTTCCTATTCGTGTTGCTATTCCTAAGATCGCACCACAGGGTTGACGACTCACATCACCTAACTTTCCCATCACTGCTATACTAACCACTCTATAGTCAGACACTACTGTATATAATAGCAAATAAAGACTCAATGATTGTTTAGTAGAGAGTCGGCTACGCGTGAGACAAGCGCTCAACCACTTCATAGTCGGTCCAAAAGTTTTCATTTGTTTAATAGTTTTACTTTTGAGACAAACTCTTATGAATGAAGTTCTTATACCTTATAAGTCATAACATATCCATAATTCTTATAATATTCATAAATATGGTTTAATTAGAAGTATATTCTGTATATTCTGTATATTCTGTGCACTTTATCTCAAGAATATAATACCAATCAATCAGTTGATGCCATCTTCTAGTGTGTCATCAGATCAAAGCACAGCACCGGCGGACACAATGCCGGCGTCTGATCCCGGAGTACAAGCCGGTGATGAAGACAACAACTGCTCGCAAGCACCGGAAGAATCATCAGAATCTCAAGAATTGCCACAACAATCGTCTGCCGACAAGAAACTGAACTCAAATGAAGAGCCCGTGTGTGACGAGACACCTGTGCGGCCACCACCTGAACCGCAATCCCAGCCCCAGTCGACAGCGCCATCGCCATCATCGGCACCGGTCGCAGGACCGGGTGGACCGCCACTGCAGTCATCCGTACATCAAATGCAAACCCAATCTTCATATTTGATGCGATTCTCATCGCATCTGCGAATAAAGTCACGTCTGGTTTGCTGTATATATTTTATTACAACATTTTTATCGCTATTTATATTAGTATTGATCGCAATCATCATATTCTTGTATTGGAAGCCAATAACTCGTGCAATAATTATCGACCAAAACATTGAACAACAAAAAGGTATTGATTTTACGGATCAAATAAAACAAAACAAAAGTAAAAGATAACAAAAACAAAGAACTCAATCCGAGACCCAAACCAAACCCTGGAAATGAAAAAACATTAAACAAATAGTCTTCAGTTAAAAGAGAGAAGAATTAGTTGTCTGTCAAACATGTAATGAAAACCTGGTTTTCTTTTGTAGCTATAGTTATAGAGACCCATAGAATCACCCTGGAAATGAAAAAACATTAAACAAATAGTCTTCAGTTAAAAGAGAGAAGAATTAGTTGTCTGTCAAACATGTAATGAAAACCTGGTTTTCTTTTGTAGCTATAGTTATAGAGACCCATAGAATCCCATAGAATCCCATAGAATCCCATAGAATCCCATAGAATCCCATAGAATCTGTTGTTTCATTGCTGTCTCAACACATTTATTGCAATTTCATAACAATTTCACATAATTTCTATATTCTCGCGAAGGAATTGATTATTTAATACTAGTTTGTGATAAGTGATGACAAATATTGAATTCTGTTTGTTAAATGCAATTCTATTACAAAAACAATTGTTACTACAATATTTCAATTCTCTATCGGTGTATATATAAGATTTAAATATCTTTAGTTTTAAATATTATATAATTTTCTTTATTTTTCTTTATATTACTGTATATTTGGATCAATTTTTTCCGGAATTGCACTAAAGATGAATACAAGAGATGGAGAATTATTAGCTCTAAAACCCTATTAGAAATATATCATCACTTCTGCTCTTTAGTGTTCAGTATTTCTATAATAAAATAAAAAAGTATACATTTTTAAAGATTTAAACTAAAGAATAATTTAATATTAGAGTAGAATAAGTAGAGATCATATGAATAAATATATCCTTTATTTAAAGAATCTTCTTAATAAATATTCCTAACAATATGAGTATATTATTCAGTGTTAACACTGAAGCAAAATATAAAACACTTGATATTTACAATGATATAAAACCAGATATTATTTTCTGTATGAAATTCTCGCACTTTATTTCGTGAATTTCTTTTCAATTTTACGCTCAAAACCACAGCTAATGTTAAACTGGGCTTAAAATTGGTGTTCCTTAGCGTAAAATTTAAGGCAAGAGTCCATGAAATTCAATACATTATTATCGGTTCGAAACCAGAAAATATAGTATTATATTAAGAAAAATTTTTAAAAATATTTTTGCTCTTATTATTGCAATTTTGAGTTACATTGTGTATGAATGCAATTCTGTGGCAAAAAGTAATGCTTATAGAAAATTGGATCCAATTTGTTATTATTATACTTTATATTATAGAAACTACACAAGAATTTGTAAGAATATATAAGAATCTATAGTCGAGTAGAATATATTCTATTGAAAGCTAAAAATGCTTGTTATTAAAAAACAGAAAATATTATTTTCAACTTAATGTCAATATTATTACTTGAATACTAATAATAGCACCTTGTACAGAACAATGTAGTATTTTATTGATTCTTTAAATAGCGGCAAATATATTTATAGATATTTGGTATAATAAATACACATAAATCAGAATATATTTATTTAAAGGTATCGACGGAATAGTGAGAAATAAAAACAATTTTCATTGTCATTGTATGAGACGAGTGTGAGTTAGTGTGTGTAATATAGTATGTGTGAGAAAAATAAACTGTTATTACTTACGAAACACATGTATATATAAGTTAGATATACTTATTTTAATCGATTTTTCCGGAGAGCAGTTGAAAAACAGGAATAATATATATTAAGTTGAATAAGAAATTCATTTGACTTTAGGGCAGATAAGGAATAAAAGAGAGGAGAAAAAGTTGAAAAATATATATAAATTCAATTCCGATAGAGTGAGAGAGTCTGTGAGAGTGAGTGAGTGAGAGAGAGAGAGAGAGAGAAACATATATAACGAGCGACTCGTCTCCACTTGTGCTCTATTAGAGGTCTTCTGGAGATCACGTCTATGTCTATCGCAATAATTCACGAAAAACTACTTCTCTTTCTCTTCTGCCAAACGATAAGAACTAAATTCATTGTTCGCACAAATGTTAGAAACACTGAAATTGGATGAAAAGATGAGAGGATAAACACAACACAAAACTATATTAGTGTTACTATCAGTGGTCGCCAAGACTGTCCCCTTTGCCAAACACGATCACACCCTTACACCCTTGCCGTCACATTTGGCAAAGAGTGTGATTTTCTACCGAATAAATATTAATAGACATCACTTTTCATCACAAATATTTTAATTAATTCTTGCAAATTTAAACAATACTACAATAGACTAGAAAAGCTAGGGTTTGACTCTTTGTTATATTTTAAGAGAGCAAAGGAAGAGGCAGAGAGAGAGAGAGAGAGAGAGAGAGAATTTATTGCTTGCGGTAATATCTATCAGTTAAATGATATCCTATTAGATATTTAGAGTAGAGTTAACTTAATTGAATTGACAAATAAAAGGAGAGAAGATTTATCGATAAATTTATATAATTTTCTTTATTTAATGATTTGACTCAACTTTAAAACTAAAATATAATTTATTTAATTATAATTGGTTTTCCGTTTGGTTTTGAAGTTATTCTGTATAAAATTTTAAATTGTATATAACAATAGTGAACCAAATTACTAGTTTAGTGTATAAATAACTTAACTACAACTGAACACAAATTTATTTAATCAAAAAGCATTTTCATGTTATTAGTACTAGAATTCTAATCAATTGACAAAACATTTAAGTTATTTACTGTTCAGTACAGCTCTGGTATATACGGGTTGTCGACGTTTATTTAAAAAAGTATACATCAAAACACTCAGGATTTAAAGATTATAACCACATCCAGAACTGTAGTCTCTGTACTACAGTTGATTAGCAATGGTTTCAAAAATAAGCTGTATTTATAGAGGCATGAACATTATTAAAAAATTATAACAATACCTTATGCTGTGTATTATGTATACAATACGGTACACATAATAATGTTTTCATTGCATGTTTTGGACACTTCTTAATGTTTAGAGTTTAATATGAATTTGAAAATTTAAATAATTTAAATAAGTATAAAATAAGTATTAAATATCTAAATCTGAATTTGGAAAATGGTTCAAGAATGGTAAAACTATGCTAGAATAATGTACAGCCTCCCCTTTGGGCTATTCCTGAACATATCAACTATTTATTTGGATAGTCTTTTGTGTATTCACTTCACTTGTATTCTTGTAATATCAGAGCTCACTCTTAAACAAGAATAACATATCCTAATGAATAGAATATTTAAAGTTTTACAACAGATTTAATATTAATTCAGTGAGAGATTTAATCAAGGCTTAAAATTCATTTAATATTTAAGAATAGCATTAAGATTTGAATAATTTAATTGTAAACTTTAAACTTTTTAAAATGTCAATGTATGCTTATTTAACAAAATACAAAACTCAGCAAAAATTGTTTTACAATTAAAGATAAAATATTGTTAATAGAAAATTATTTTAATTACTAATACTATTACCAGTAGTAATACAGTACTTAATATTCTGGATGTGATTATCGTTTGAGCAAATGAATAGCTATTTTAACCATACAATTAAGGAATGCCTTCACTTTCCTATTATAAAATATATCTCTTTGAAAGCCTATAGACTTTCAATTAGACTTAACACTCGCCCCTCGTCTGAAATACTGCTATTTTTCAATATAAGAGCCAATTCTTGCCTTAATTGTATGATTTTTGTGCATTTTCTGCATTAAAAAATTCATTAGAAATTAATTTGTACTGTGTGCTAGATAATAAGTATCTTAACAACTTATCAAAACAGATTCCAAAAGTGGCAAAATATTTAACAAAATAAGGGCTGAACTAATCAAACAAATACACAAATAGGAGGGAATATCCAACAAAAAAAGAGACATTTGTAAAGACAGTAGAGAATAGTATAGTTGTTATACTGCATAATGTATTACAGTATATGGATCTCAAACGCCTTATTCTTTACATGTAATGATTATTAGCTCACATTCAAAAATTACCAAAAATTGAATTACACTTTGAGATAAATAATTAATATACTTGTAATCATGAATTAGCATAAAAATTAACATAATATTCACATGAATGCACGACTCTATTAGAGAAGTAATAGTATTTTATACACATTTCGCAGAATATTCTAAATGTTGTTTCGTTTTCTTTACTCTCATTACAATTCACAAAGAAATTCAATTACAGACAGAACAAGAGCTAAACTAATAATAAAAATAATAAAAATACTTATTATAATAATGTATTCTTTTATTCTTGAAGTTTTTTACATTGAGGTTGTGATGAGTTCTGAATTTTTGTATTTTATGTAATCATTTTTAATATTACAGAATATTCTTGCGACTAATATAAATGTATTTATATTTTCAGGACAATGTTTTCCCCTGAAAGTGACTGTTTGTCAGAAGTATAGGATTCCCTACGCGTATACAACACTTCCAAACAAATTCGGACAAACAGATCAATCAGAGATAAATCAACAACTGATGGATTACGAGCCCATAATAAGTGTCAAATGTTATGCACTTTTACCACTGTTTTTATGTTCACAATTAGCGCCAAAATGCAACTCAACTGGACATTCAGTACCGACGTGTCGGACTTTATGTCGTGGTCTGTACTCTCATTATTACGTATATCTATAACTATCTATACTTATAGAGTCTATAGACTAATATATAATTTATAAAGGAATATAAGAAATTATTCCCAATAGTCGCTCAAAAAGATTTAGGTTTTCACATAATATTACATTTATTACAGTATACTGGCGTTCATAAGAACCAATTCTTAAAGTAAATTCTATATTCTTTAACAAATACAATAGACATGAATGAATATTCTCTACAATATATTCTCAATACATTTATTCTGTATTAGTGGTGCTGTACTTTTGCATACTTTTAAGCATACATATTAGACTACTATATCAATAAAATAAATTCAGTGCTTAACCACTTTAATGTATTTAGTATAGTATGATATTTGCAGTTTAGTAGATATGATGAGAGTATGTAAATAGTGATTTGTGCCATGAATTTATAATCCAAGCAAAAGCAGTGCTAGTATTACATAAATATGATAACTAATTGGTTCATAAGAACGGCTCACGACTGTACATAAGAGGAAAGGCTGTATAACGTGTCTGACTGTCTGTATTCCCAATTGTAAATCCCAAACATACAGAGACTCAGCTGAGATGTAATTTTTTTCTCCCGGTGTTTACACTGCAATGGCCTCAAGAGCTTAACTGCGACCAATTGCCTGATAGTACTGATCCTGACATATGTGTTGGTTATCANTCATACCCTTCCCCACCACCTAACCCAACCATTCTCTGCAAATATATCTAATTTGATTTAATGAATAGAATAATCACTTTTAGACTTAAATATGCAAATCAAGTACTGAATGAAAATGTGAGAAAACTGCGTTCAAAAGATTATAATTAACTGTGACTTAACATTAAAGTAAGACTTGTGAACAATACAAACAGGGCAAAATCTTTATTCACATATAAATTGTGTGTTCAATGAAAGATCAAACACTTGGCTCTTGTGCTGACACAACACAACACATAATATAAGAGTTAATTACTTCTTATCGCCGAAACTGACACTCAATTCACTTGAACATTGAATTCACTGATAGAGTGCCAAAAGAATTGAAGAATTATTTTATTATGATTTCAACAGTAGTTACGGCACAACAATAAGCTATAAATTATGTATTGAACGCAACGCTATAATAAAGCAAATACTGTGTATTCTGTAGATTCCGTACATTTATAATACATAAAGTTTTGAGCCGACAATTGAATTGAATGAATAGGAAAAAAATTTAAAAATACTGCAAAAAATGCTTACAATGGGCTCCAGTAGTAAGCAATCGATTTTCTTGATAACCAACACATATGTCAGGATCAGTACTATCAGGCAATTGGTCGCAGTTAAGCTCTTGAGGCCATTGCAGTGTAAACACCGGGAGAAAAAAATTACATCTCAGCTGAGTCTCTGTATGTTTGGGATTTACAATTGGGAATACAGACAGTCAGACACGTTATACAGCCTTTCCTCTTATGTACAGTCGTGAGCCGTTCTTATGAACCAATTAGTTATCATATTTATGTAATACTAGCACTGCTTTTGCTTGGATTATAAATTCATGGCACAAATCACTATTTACATACTCTCATCATATCTACTAAACTGCAAATATCATACTATACTAAATACATTAAAGTGGTTAAGCACTGAATTTATTTTATTGATATAGTAGTCTAATATGTATGCTTAAAAGTATGCAAACTTTGCATTGAAAAGTACAGCACCACTAATACAGAATAAATGTATTGAGAATATATTGTAGAGAATATTCATTCATGTCTATTGTATTTGTTAAAGAATATAGAATTTACTTTAAGAATTGGTTCTTATGAACGCCAGTATACTGTAATAAATGTAATATTATGTGAAAACCTAAATCTTTTTGAGCGACTATTGGGAATAATTTCTTATATTCCTTTATAAATTATATATTAGTCTATAGACTCTATAAGTATAGATAGTTATAGATATACGTAATAATGAGTACAGACCACGACATAAAGTCCGACACGTCGGTACTGAATGTCCAGTTGAGTTGCATTTTGGCGCTAATTGTGAACATAAAAACAGTGGTAAAAGTGCATAACATTTGACACTTATTATGGGCTCGTAATCCATCAGTTGTTGATTTATCTCTGATTGATCTGTTTGTCCGAATTTGTTTGGAAGTGTTGTATACGCGTAGGGAATCCTATACTTCTGACAAACAGTCACTTTCAGGGGAAAACATTGTCCTGAAAATATAAATACATTTATATTAGTC